AATTTTACAATATGCAAAGATGCCGTGACACATATTCCGTGTATTCATACAACTACGTTACTTTACTGCGGAATTATATAAAAAGCGCGGAATTATAAAAAAAAATATTAAGCATTTATTACACTACACATGAGTGGACTATCCATTTGATTAACATGAAAACTTTCCAATTGATGTGATAATGTATTAACATACGCGTAACAAATGTGAACAGAAACACAAAGTAACCGAGAGTATACGCAATAACTATACAGTATTGGCAGTAAATATTGCTAATTGGTAATTTAAATGGAAAATTAATGTTCAGAAAGCGGTTTCGTTTTGTTAATAACATACAGTTTGTCGTATTTCATAAGAGTTCATATTAAATAAATATTATTATATGTTCATATTTTTTTATGTAATTGTAATATCAAATTAGATGACAGCCATAACACAGCAGCAGAAAAACAGCTTACCGAGCAGCTTGCTTAGTGAGATATTTTTGGTTATAGGGTTCACTCTAGCAGTGATGGAAGTGAAATAAAATACATCATAGTCCTCTATGGTCGTATCACGGCCGTTATATGATAACTTGATGTCCGTAGTGTTGTTCGTATCCTATAGGGTCTGTAGCCTGTCTTTATACAGTCAAGGAGTGTATATAATTAAGTATAATAGTTTTAAAACATAAACGTGTTGGCAATTTGCTGTAAGTTTGTATTGTATGAAATAAACAAATAAATAAATGATGCCTCTAAACCTGTAATTTCACTGACCTATATCTACAACCAAAATAAATTTTACAAGGAGGAGGCTGAAATGTAAAATGTGCCGACACAGACTACTCTTAACAAACACTACGTCGGTTTAAAAGGTAAGTAGGAAGTGTTGACATATATAATACAATACTACACTTCTTGGTTCTATATTAGGCAATACCAATAAATACATTTTTCTTAGTGTTATTTAACACTTTCTATATGATTGGCTTACAAGTACTAGTTAGCTATATTAAAGTGCATTGTTACTTAGTACGTATTGCTGTGATTATTTTTTTAAATTTTATATATTTATTGTTTAATAAATTCTCATAATATGTTGACATGAGTTTATTACGTGCTAAAGTTTCTTTTGCATATAGAATATACTTTATTATTACTATATTTAATAGATTATTACCTGTACTAATATCATAAACATGTATAGTTTGTGAGTTTGGATGTTCGGGGTAATCTCCGATAGTATTTAACGTCTTTTGATTGAATGAATGAATGTTTTAGTGTTGGATAGTCCATATATCGGGGAATTCTATAGGCTATGTGACATACATATGTGACGGTAGTAATGGAGCTTCGGTGAAAAATGTTGCAATGTCAAAGGCGAGCGGTTCTCTTTTGAAAAGTGTGATAGAGAGTTAACAAAATAAAAAAAAACTAGTTAGTTTTTTTTTTTATTTTGTTTGAAACTCTTGAGTTATGATAAGTTTAATAGAATTCTAAATATCTTTGTCTTGTAATAGTCCCTAGCTTAATTTAATTTAGTTTTAAGTAATCCGCCCTATGAGGCTTGTAACCCAGCTTCCCAGAGATGTTTGCCCCGGGATTTGAAGGGGCAAAGGGGCTAGCCTTGACGCCTTTAACCTTCAACCCCTAGGAAGGTGTTGATGACCAAAGTTAGTCATGTACCTATGCATACGACTTCAACCTCTTTCCAACATCTTTTTCTAAACATTAAACCTGCTCAATCCTCCTAATACTAAGCGATTGTACTATAAATGTTAGACTATATTCAAACGATGTGCGGTTTGTGGTGAATGCCACATTGCTAACTCATATCATGTGACTCTGATTGCTTCGCTGGCTTTAAATATTGAAAATAGAGCAAATACACTGAATTTAATAAAAAATATGACTTGTAAACTATTGTTTTTAATAGAGTAATTTAGTAGGGTTTCGATTAAGATTCGATTGTCGGCGGTAAGAAAGAACACCGCTTATCTGGTGGTAATTGGTTGACATGATCTGAGAATGCTTCATCGCCGAAATAGTTATTAATTTTAGATAAAGTAGATGTTTAGGTATATAATTCTCAGTTTTTAGAATACAATTACTAAAACTCTATACAATGTTGCAGTAAGAAAGTAATTCGCTAGAACCGATATCGTTTTCCAGAGAACGAAAGTCGTCAAACCAACATCAAGCTAAAGTGGTCGTAGACTTATGGAGTCTCCCGTAGAACTGATGGTAATTAGGATAGACGAGTTTTCGAAGTGATACTGTACGTACTGTAACGGCAATATTGTAGTTAAGAAAATTATTCGTAACTCGTTTTTCCATGGCACCGTTACTGTTATACATATATACGTATAGTGTTATTTGCAAACATTATTAATATTCAGTTATTTTCTATTTTACTAGATAGCAGTAGTCGTGATAAAAAGTACGTGTGTGCGTTTGTGGACCGATATCTATTGATACCCCTCAGATTGATTCACCGTCCAATGTGGACCAAAAATTGCGTTAGCCGGAGTCTAGGTTCGAAACCCTAGTCGACATCCATGGATACTCCTCAAATTGATTCCCGCCCAATACTAATGGGTATCGAAATTACAACAACCTGAGCCTACCCGAAACCCAAGCGGTGTTTTCAGACGAACGTCACATCCGCCAGGTACGATTTGGCCTTCATCCGCACCTTAAGTCCATCCGCGAGTTTGGAATGCCATCTCCACTCACCCCTATTGTACAATGAAGCTGTAAAGACCAGGTGCGGTCAACAGGATAAGAATAGTTCGATAATAAAAAAATCTATTGATATTGAAAAAAATAACCACACTACATGAAGCATATATACTGTGTCATCCATTACTTAATCAAAGAATAAATGAATTAATAAAATTTTAGGAATATTTTATTACTTAATTATTAGCCCCTTTCGGGAGTACTATTTTAGACTGTATATTGTCTTATATTTAACAACATATTGCTTCAAAACTTCATAATCATTCTCCCAGACGTCTTTACTTGAAACACTAACACTAATAAATAAACGGACATTATCGTCTCGTCATGTATATAAAGAAAAATATACAGGATAGGGTGTAGACATGTAAACAATATCTTTATTTATCTGTCTATACTATAGAGAGTAAGTATATTTATATTTTTGTATATTCATTCCTTGTTATCTTAATTTGTCTGGTCTCAATTTAATTTTACATAGTACGTGAGTAATTAAATATTAATAAATATTAAAAAAAAATATAGCATTTACAGTTTGCTCTTATTTTATTATCTTGAAGTACCAAGATCATGTTTTAACAGGTATTTCAATAATTATTTCTCATCCATTTAACACCTAATTTATTTGATTAGGGCTCCCATTACATTCTACTTTCCACTGACATCAAAATGACCAATCGTAAACAATGGTGTTGAGTTAAACATATGTCTGCATGTGAGTTTGAATACGTAAGTGCACATTTTGAAAACGAAAGCGCAGTTTATAGGCCATTGTGTGTGGCTTTCTGTTAATATGTATGCGTAGAATGCTTGTTATTTAGAGTATGTTATTAAATTAAAGTCAAGATAATTATACAATTATACATAAAATTTGAAAATTTATTCCCTTATTGAAATGCTGTACAAATATCTTGTATCTTTCTGCATTTTCTACCGTGTATATTATACTGAGTTTTATGAGGAATTGTTCAGATTTACTTTGTTTGCTGAATTCCATCATCACACAACCCGACATAAATTCGTCACAGTTAAACCGCCATTCGTCCAGATCTTGATAGTATTTTATTATTCTCGGGTGGATGAATAGCAATATTAGTACTTCTTGCCACTAGCTACTTACACAACCTTCTAGTAATGGTATTTCTGAACCAATATGATATTGAAACCTTAAAAAAAAGATAATTCTTTTTAAATGGACGGTTACACAACTGCAGAACTCAAACGGCTTATTATCGGCATATTTCTCAAAACCAGAGCTAATTATTTCATTAAGTATTCTTTAAAATTGTCATAAAAGTTACTTTTTACATGTTAATTGTAAAATTTTAATTTCAATTATAGTATGTTCCGGTGTATTCTAGAAAATATTGCAAAGAAACTAGGCTATTATTATCATTAATTTTTTTATTGATACATTCTATTCGTCACATTGAGTAGATTGTTTTACTATATTAGTGCCCTTTGAAACTAAAATAAACAAGCTATTGTACATTTATTCATGCGAGAAGAATATAAAATCCAATACAATTTAAATAAACGTTATTTAGAACGTTACTTCTGGACTATATATTGTATGATTTATGTATGTTAATGTATTCTGATATCTAGTATAAATAAATTATGTATTATCATTTACATAGGTCTTCAATTTATGTAGGTACTGTCAAAGTTAATTGAATTAGTTATATTATTTATATATAATTGTATAGGAATACACACACGTTGCAGTAAATTCTTTCGATTGCAGAAATTCTTAAAATATTTAGAGAGTTGGAAATTCTTATTGATACTCTTTTTCGTATAGTAGTCCGTAGTAATTGTTTAAGGTTTTCTATTTATTTACTAATAAATAATTAAGTACCTTATTTTGTTTTTATTTTGTGACACCTGCGTGTAAGGTTAATTTTTTTTAATTTGCTTATATTGGTGTGGGAATATTAACAGGAGTAAAATGGTCTTTTGTATACTAATTAATGTATAAAATAATACACATACAAATATGAATGACTATTTATTTCGTTTTCATTGAAGGGTGGTATATAATATTTATAACACTTAGATGAAACATGAATAAGACATCACCGTAAGAATATATATAGATATAGTAATATAAGATGAGAAAGTACACAAAAGTATACATACTATAATATAATATAACAAACGAAGATGCAATAAAAAATTTCATACTTATATACTTTCATACGAAGCCTATTTACAAAAGCAAAGTATAATATATAGTTTTATATAAAATTATGAGAAAATAAAATACGACTAGTATAAAATGAACACATAAAGTAATTAAAGAGTTATATGAACAATATTAAAGCCATTAAAAACTTAAAAAACTTACAGTTTGTACTATAATATGAAACAAATATACTTATAATAAACAGGTACATTTCAGTGATAAATCATAAAAAAATAGAGAATATATAAAATAGAAATGGCGATGCAATCGAAGACAATAGATGGGACAAGATTCACTCATACGTTTTTCATATTAAATATTTAACAACGTATAAATAATTTAAATAAATTATTAAATAATAAATTAATATCTGAACATTCTGAGGTCCGTACTAGACTAACCAAAGATTATTATAATCCTGCGTAAGGATGACAACAGTCTTCTTAATTATGTCTTCAATTAGAGTAAGCATTGTATGCTAAGTTCTGGGCGTCTTGGGATGACCTTCCCCAGCCTCCTCCGTGACCTCCATGGCTGTAGTGCTCCTCATGGTGAGGGTGAGCTACAACCTCATAGCTCTCATGGCTCTCGTGTTTGGATAATAGCTTCTTCAACAGAACAAGGGCAGAAGCCAACAACGCAGCCTTTGCAAGGAAGAGACCCTTAACTGCGGCGAAGGCGATGATACCCAAGAATAAGGGAATGAGGGACTGGATCTTCAGTTGGAGAAGAGCGAGAATTGGGAGAAGCTGCTTCAACTTCTTCTTCTTGCCACGGCCTGTAAAACATACAATTTTTTATAAAAAAATGTATTTTGTTATTTACCTGCTGAGTAGTACTTAATATTTTAATAATTATTGATAAAGAGCAAAGTTAAGTTGATATTAGAAGATATGAATAATTATTTGATAAACTAAACGGCACATATAGAAAGTAATCAATCAGTGTACAAGAGCTGTATACATCAATTGTTAAAAATCTAATTCGAATTCAAAATAGTGCGGGCGAATGTTGAAAATTTTAAACAATGTCGCTTTCATTGTAATTCATGATGTTACGTCCAGTTTGCATAACAGCCCCGTTCATCTAGAAAGTGCATCGATTACCGGACATTACGATTCGAAAGCTCGGAACCCACTTCCATATTTCGTTAACGAGATTCTGCCTGGAGCGAGACTTTTACTCAATTCTTGATCAAGATTTCGATCACGGTGGCCGGTGCTAACGGAACTCTAAAACTAGTTACGTGTAGTTCTACATACTTACAAGTGTAAGATACTATGGGAATCTAGCAAAAACTAGACTTGACCGTCTCGTCCGCTTTCCACCATAATCAACCTGGTTAATAGGTTAGAGAAACTCCTACTATACCCGTTTTACTGTTGCGATTTCTAGTGTCTTCTTCATATGGTTTCATCTCACATAGTGCCGGATGTCCGTTATGGCAATTATAGGAGTAAGACGATTGTAACTCATAATTAAATGGTCTATGTGAAGTTTAATGCAAAGTTTATTTCGCAGCTATGATGATAACTTTCCATTTAAATATTTTCACCATATATAAGAGTACGTGTTGAACCGGTTTGTTGCAAGTTTTGCTAAATTGCTATACTATGATAGCTTTTATGTCTGATATACATGACTCGCACGATTAAAGGTAAGTATTAAAGGTAAGTCATGTAAGGCCTACTTTTTATTTGTATTAGCAGAATAGTCACGTATAGTTTTTTTTATTCTTTCACTGCTCAACAGTTTGGTTTAGTTTCTTTTTTCCTTAGCCTCATTTTTTATGTTTGACTTTAAACAGTTATTACATCCAATGACTTGCTAATTTCTATGTTTCTAAAGCGTTAATAAATAAAAGTGAACCACCCAATCATAGCACGATTAAACATGACATTATAAAATTTGATACGGCGATCAGTGTGATGTAGCACTCGACACCAAAACCAGTTATACAAATAAAACGAGAAAGAGTGTATTTAACGTGCGTTATATAATAATGACGTTGAATGTCATAATGCACTGTAACTGACAAAACTTGCGATCGACAAAAAATGCTTTGAAACTACTTTATATTACTGATTCTTTCTTGCTTTTTAACAAATATAATTGATATTTTTACTAGATATATTTGTAATAGCATAATTTGATTTAGATACAGTAAATAATTCTATCAATTATAGTATATATCTAGTTTTATCATAAAACAATTATCGAAATCTATGCATTATGCCAATTATAGTGATGAAAGTTATTTTACATAAACGTGTTGAGTAATTATAGCGTATTCGCGATGTATTTATTACATGTTAAAATTCATAAGCTTAGAATTATGATATTCATATACTAAATAATTATTAGAATTTATTATCTAATATTTAATTAAAACAAGAATAATTAATATAACTTCAGGAATTACTAAAAATGTATGAAATTTTTTAATAAAAGTAACATGTATGTTATATTTAAAGACAATTTGTTAAGACATGAGACGAAAGGAATAATAAATGAATTTCAACCTAATTTGTATTGTAATTAGATTAAAAATTAATTATATACTACTATTTAAATTACATCTATGTAATTTTAGTGAAGTTCACTTCTGATATAAATACTCTTAAATATTAGCTATTAAAGTGACTAACTACAACAGTGATGTTTACAATTGCTTTAAAACGAATGCGAATCAACTCTAATAGGTGTAATTTGTAGTTGTGTAATTTTCTAGACGGACAATAATAATTTTCTGTGTCTACATTTCGGTAAATGTAGACAATTATGATTGTCATACTAAACTTTCTCTTGTTTTATTTTTGTATATAAAATTATACGTCTAACAAATTTGATCGTGATCATATGACTCAATTGTGAGCTCTCAGTTAAATGATCATACAATACTTTAGTGGTTTATTAAATTAATATTTTATATAATTAACTAGCTATCCGCCCCCGTCTTCGCACGGGTGTACATGTATTGTACATATAATCCTTTTTCTTGAATCATTCTATCTATCGTTAAAAACTGCATTAAAATGTAATTTAAAAGATCTAAGCAAATTGACAACGGAAACGACTTCTATTTATACTAATTGAAGATGTGTCTAACTTAGACTAACATGCTAGTTTTAAATATAAACAATAATAAAACTAAAACCTAACTAACTACACACTATGTCATAACTACGAAATATGAAATAGTATTTCATATTACATTTTAAAGAAACGATCTTGGCATTGTGACTCAGCAAATTGTATTCAATTTGCACGATATTGCTATGATTGTTATGTGTTACGGCATCAACGAATTACTTCATTCGATAACTTCTTTAAACAAACCTGATAATTCTAGCGCACTTAAAGTTCTTTTTATATATACTGCTGTGTTCTTGAGAACTAAATATATTTAACTTAAAATTTAGGGCTCTAATAATTTCATGAGATTATCTAATAAAAAAAGGACTTGTTTTACTATATTCATTATTAACGCAAATATATTAATAATGTAAAAATGAAATCAAGTCACAAGATTTAGAGTCAAGCTTTAACACTCGTTGAATTAATATTAAAAAGAAAAAAATACTAATAAGTACTATAGTTAATAATCACGAATAAATAATAACATAAATATAGAATATATATGGTAAATTAAAAAGTAAAGCAAAAATGATGGCCTAACAACGGAATAGAGTCCGGAACATATGTGATCACGCTAAAACGGAAAGTGCATTACTTTTCCGCATATATAATATTAATTGTGAACATTATGCAAATCGCATGTGGTTATTAGGAAACTGAAGTGTACTAACCTTCCTCAAGAGACCGCTTGACGTCATCAACAGTGCTCCTTGGCATACGAAGTTGGATGACATGATTCTCCAAAAAGTCAGCAACACCGTCCACCAGTCTGGATTCCACTTGGTTTTCTCTAGCTTTGGGTTCATCGGACAGTGGCTCGAAAGACCTGGCTGACCTTGGAGATCCTGTGCCAATTAAGCTGATTCCATCAGCAATGCTGAGCTCCCTGGCTGTGTTGATATTGTCGACGTATTTCAAGGCTCTTTCCTGTGACAAAGATATTTACATTTAGGTTATTATATATTATTCCTAATTTAATATACATTTGAAGAGGTCAAACAATAAAAAGAATTGGTGTTGATAAAATATTAATTCAGCGATGTCTCATTAATTATTTGTTTTGAACTTAGCCTCAATCATTTGACTTCAACGATTGTAATACTGAACTATATAATATATAACACAAGTATATAATTTAGCTAAAGTATATATATTGTAAGAAGAAATTACAAATAAATTCTTATGCACTATAAAATAAGATTGCAAAAAAAATACCATTTATAATTTATAAATGCATCTCAAATAGTGTGTAAGAGCACATTACTCACTAATTACTTATAAAGGACACTTCCTGTGATAGTTTTTCAATAGTAATTAATCTGAATAATTATTTTAATCAAATGTTACTTGTCGAACTTTTAAGGTAAGATTTAATCAGACTGTAATTTTTACACATTACATTGTCTGTAATATATTTTTATTCTAAACCAATTCTAATGATTTTATAATTAATCCCGTATTGGTTTGCTACGAGTCAAAATTAAAGATCGTGTTTTATAGGTGTAATATAAAATCGTCCCAGTGATAGACACCATAAATTTAGAAGTTCACAAAGAACACTTGAACACTGTCACAACACACCTTCAGGCACAACGAGACATCTTCTTCACCACAGCTTCGAACTACTCCAATGACTGAACCGACTACATCATCTTCTCTTGTTGGCTTGCTCCACACCACCGCGACACTCACTAGAATAATGAAGAAGGTCTTCATCTTTTGTCCTTGGACTCTCCTTCGGTGGTGATAAGTGAAATGTATTGCTGGAGTGGTAGGTAAGCGGTTTTATTCCGCGTCCCCCCACTGCGATCGGTAGGTTCCCGCCAAAATGTGCGTACGTACACGTCAAGAATCTACGCAAATTCGCGTAGAATGTTTTAGACACGGCAATCAGTAATACCGGAAATGGTAAGCTCATTGCATCCGTAGTATAACCGACTAGTTTCTGTTCGCTATTAGATCCTCGCGACTATGGTTGTCCTCAATAAAGAAATATCCAGGTCCTCTATAACAAATAAACCGACTTAATTTCGTGTTTCTAACATTTTTCTAATGTTACTCAGGATAAATAATATTTTTTTTAATTTGAAATTTTCCTTGATATTTTTCTATTTCGATAAATTATTTGTATGTGAAAATTGTTAAAGCCTTCTTTTACTTATTTCTAAAATTTCGAGTTTACTTTAAGTAATTTGTAAATTTAGTAATGGCCAATTATAGTTCTATATTTTATTATTGCTATAATTATTATGTCGTATATATCTTCAGCATATACGTATATTATTTAGCCACTACATAACCTATTGTGCCGATCCCAAATGATGGGGTAAAGGCAAGGCAATAATGAACTTAGCTTAAATTATAATATAAACTGCTCTTAATTGTCTCAAAGTTAGATGTATTTTATAAACTTATACACTGTTAATGTGCATCTATGTTTACATTTTATGGTCAAGATAATAATTTCAGTATAGAAGCTAATCATTTACATTGATCCTACTTCTATTACAATACATATGAAGTACATTAAATGTTGGCAATTAATTAAATGTATTTAAAAATAATTGAGTTATTAGAACTTCTATGCACTTTCTTCATCCTGTGACATGTACGCTTCAAATATATGTATGAATCATACATTATTTATGACACATTTGGAATGCATTGTAAAGGATTCGCCGTTGTGGGTCATTGGGTGAATAGGATGCATTCTTTTGTCGTTTTTACTATGAACATATTATATGCAATTTGTGATTGCATACATACTTCGAGATTATAATAATAATCAATATGATTTACCATTTTCTTCATATTGATATATTCGTATTATGATCTAATTACATTATGAAGACAAAACCCTTAATGAATAAAATGTATTACTATTTTTGCTAATTAACGAACTTTGAAGATATTGTAAGTAAAGTATTTAATAAATTTTTACAAAATTTATTAATAGTATTATTAGTATTACTTCATATACAGTTGTATTATTCATAATCATATTTTTATATTATATGTACCTAGTAAATGTCAATAAGAATGTCTTTCTAAGACAGTATATTTTATTCCATTTGCTTTTGTCAATACCCAAGAATAAGAATTGTCTTTCTTTTCTTATTTTGAGGCGAACAGAAGGAACGTGTTATATTGGTTGAATAATTTATATTTTGCCGTGTCTGTTACGTTCTTAACTCACCAAAAACTATAGTTCCCATGCTCTAGGAGACGTTTGATTGGTCAGTTTTTTCTCAATGATCCAAACCAATGGTTATTTTGAATGGAAATTAATATTTATGGGATGTTTTCTAAAATTGCATAACCTGCAAAACGCAGGTGCCCGATTCATAACTAACTGAATTTATAATTTTGCTTCGTGATTGCAATTTTGATTTTTTATATTGTGTAATCGACTCTTTAATATTCTGTAGTGGTCTGATGTAATACTTTACTTCAGTCAGATCCGGAAAGTGGTTTTTGAGTTATAGTAGGTGTCGCGCTCTTAAGTAGATCATTATAAGTTTTTAGTATTTTTTGGTATTGGCCGGAAACAAAAGAATTAAGTAATAAACGGCAAATATAACAAATATTATATGCATATTTGTTATAAAAATAATAATGAAAAATTTTAAAAAGATAAAATATATTTTTTATAAGTGTATATTCTCAATTTATAAATCGTATTTTTCTTGCACCAATTTGCACCCTATGTATAAACCACAGCTTACAAAGGAAGCTGCTCGGCAGCTGAAATCGGTGAGATTTAGATACCCATGCAGATAACATTTTCCTGCGATGTGTTTTAATATTGGGGGAATAAATGAAGGTCTATGATATACAAATGGAATTTGTATCCATGGTACTCAATCTCATTTTGCTTTCATAAACACTAATTCATGTCTACAGATAGTACCTATATATACATAATACAAATACATCTGTAACTAAGTGATTATGTCAATACTGACAACTATAAAAAAACGTTATGTCGTTGTAATGATAAAGTTACACTTATATAAAGTATCCAGTTGAGATTGAATATATTTTTTCCCTTTTATTTGTTTCACAGTTTATTTTTTTATACGTATATATTTGGATTTATAAATTCTTAGGCTATCGCTGCGATTTGATACAGAGAAAGGTTTTTAATAGAAGTTTTAACTGTAGGGTATATATATTATACATATTTTCATAATTACATATATATTATACATAAAATATTATATTAAAGTATATAATATATTCAATAGTTAAAAATAATATTAAATAACAAAAAGCTTTCGCATGTATGTAGTGTACACTTATGTATTGTTAATCTGTTTCAACTTATAAACCTATACTTCTAATGGTCTCGGGTTCGTTTTGTCAAAAAAAATTAAGTGGATATGGATAATAGGGACGTAATGGGAAGGCGGACGATATAATTCACATACCTAGTATAATATTGAATTAACGCAATATTATTTCATCTGTTTTAATTAGACTTTAGTGTTAAAAATTAAGAGATAATTTTAAAAAGTTTGTATTTTAGTTAATCCTTACTAATAATTAAATTAAAAAATATAATAGAAAGTCGATGATTTTGTAATCAAGTTGGATTTTGTAACTCATGCTAAAGTGGGATATGTGCATAGTAGAAATATAAAATGCCATTCGATTGTAAATTTATATAACTATTCTGTAGCATATATTATGTATCGCTAAAATAAAATTAAAAGTTTCATTAATAGCTCTACAAGAATAAAATTTGTAAGTTGAACATAATGAGTTCCAAAATAGTGTAAAAGCATCAACGGATCCAAGAGCCGTAAAAAAGGCATAAAATTACCATTAATCAAGATTTTTTTTCTACAAAAGTAAAAGTCAACATTCGCAGATACAAAGTATAAATAATTAGGTATGTTTATTTTTGTAAAAAAATATTAAATAGATGATTGAGTCCGAAATATAGTGTATTTTATTATTTCTTTATTCCTGTCTGCATTGATGGATTAATACAAATAAAAAAAAATTTAGACAGTAGCAAAAATATATAGCAACATGCTACAGTTTGGATCTTAATAAATAATAGATTTACATGTAGAACTAGCAAATATTGAAATTGAAATTATAATTAACTCAAATAAAATTATGTCTTTACCTTTTTAAATACACTACTAATGATCATAAATTATATTATATATAGCTAAAACTCTATATACCTATAAGCTAATAAAAATATTTATTACATAGATAGATACAAATTTTATATGTATTTTCAGTATATATACATTCACTAATTCTCCATCATACTTTACATATTGATACTGTAATCACAATTTTAACTCTACATTTAGGCTGAACAATACAGGTGTCGTTATAAATGACTCACCAGATAATACGCTGTTGTATGAAAGCAAGAGTTGTAAACGTGAGAAAAATAATGTAAATAGAATAAGTGCATTCGATATGCGAGCACCGTGAAATAAGCTGAGCAACATAGGCAGGTATAGACTGAACTATATTGTTATGCAATAACTAATTATTGCTCACAAAATTCTTTTTTTCTTCAGTCATTTAAATTGACAGATTGGTTGTGGTTTTTATGATGGTATCTCTTCGTTATCATCCTTGGCGACAGAGCTCCTCGTATTCTGCTTCCATCTGGTATGGTTTTTGGCCGCACGAGAACATTGTACAATAGACTTCTGTGTAAGCCTTTTTATAAGGTCAGTTCATCGCATTGGTGATCGACCCCGAGAACGTTTGCCTACTGAATATAGATTAACAATATTTGAGGGAGAAGTCGTTTTCAAAATTCATGTATTTATGTACCAAACAAATAAAAAAAGTGGACATTTCACACTGCCTCAATCTTTTCAGTTCCAAGCTAAGTTGACCTTGTATTATGGGTACTGAAGATTGAATATAAATCTTTAAATACGTTTATTTTATATTCATAATATACATAGAAAATATCCAAACCGATACAAACAATTATATTCATTAACATAAATATCTGTGTGCCAGGAATAGAACCCACAACCTGAAATAAGACATCTATTAAATCGCTGGACCACCGAGACCGTCATGGGATTACTGATCACAATTCTCAAAACAAACTATTAAATCTTATCATGCAGATTGCATATATCAAGGTAGAATTTATATGAATTTGTTTATGTAGCAAATTTTTCTCATCTATTTCAGACCGAAATCATCTTGCTATCGGTTGAAGAATTATGATAGTGAAATTACAGGGTACGGGTGCAAAACTCTTTCGTATTCCAGAATGGCAATGACTGAGTGATACAATGGACTTCAGGTGATATAGGGATGTCCGTGGTACAGTTAATATATATAGGCAACGGTTCCGACTTAACAGCACATGGATCGTCAGCTTGTATAACGTAACAGTTTATAAAAAAATAAGTTCTAACAATTGATCACATACTATGAATATAATGAATAATTATGTTATAAAATTTACTTAACACACTAATTCAGTAAGTGCGTACCAATTACAATGGAAAGTAATGGATTTGGAGCGGCACCGAATTTCTATCGCGCTCTCCCTCTTAATAATATAATTTATTTTGTAGTTAATGTCTAATTAGAGTTTCGTTTTTTATTACTGCGTCATCCGCACTTTTTTCTCTTTTTTTATTAGCATAAATTATAGACAAAGGAAACTTTGAATTTGTGGTCCGTTGCCAAATTTTTAATTAATTCTTTTTTGGCCTGTGTATTTTTCAATGTGTTCTCGTTGCTAAATGTGTTAAAATCAATAATTAGA